ATCAGGGTCCTCAAACCTCAGGTCCCCATGCGCCCGATCCTGGCCCAAGCTCTCCTCAAGGCTCCAGGCTCGCCCTGGGACTCAGGGCACGCACCCTAGGGCCCTGTCCACCACCTTTGCTCTCGGTCCCTGGGCAGCTCCTCTGGTCCCACCAGCTTCCCCAAGGCCGTATCTTCTCTGGAGGAGGTGACCCTGCTTCTGGGGGCTCAGTGCAGAGTGGATAAATAGGAAACTCGGGGAGGAGGAAGACAATGAGCGTCTGGGCTGGGGTCAGCTCCCCGGGCAGGCCCTTTTCGTCACTCTGAGTTTAACTCTAAAGTGGGATTGATCCCGGCCAGTGGAGTAAATGAGGTCGGCACACATGAGTCCTGGCATGAGGCTTGGCACAGACGTGGTGCCCAGTTAGCAGCAGGGGCTCAGCTTCCCCTTACATCTCCCAGTGACCATACCTGACCTGTCTTTGCCCTCACACAGAAAACCAGGGCACAGACTAGACATAAACCAAGGTTTTTTAAAAAGGGGGGGGGGGAAAAGAAGACCAAAGGAGATGAATTTAAAACATACATACTCACTCAAGAGGCTGGGAAAAGTGAGATTCTAGAATACAGCTAGAGGGGGTGACTGCTGCACTGGGCCCTAAGCCTCTGTCCTCCCCACCACCACCACACAGCATCATCCAGTTTGTGTAACCAAGAAAGCTCTGCCGTCCACCCGCCAGGACTAGTGGCTCTGACCACCTACAGGTACACAGGGCTGGTTCAGGCCAGGCCAGCCCCTCCGTCTCCAGGATGCCAGAACTCCACTAACACCATCGTCTTAGCATCTCAGGCTGAGATTCTTCGCGTGTTCTGAAAATTGCCCCCCAAGATGGCATCAAATGGGATTTCCCTGGCGGTCCAGTGGTTAAGACTCTAAGCATCCACTGCAGGGGGTATGGGTTCAATCCCTGGTTGGGAACTAAAATCTCACATGCTTTGAGGTGCAGCAAAAAATAAATAAATACACAGCTTCGTGGAGCCAGACCTGGATTGGCGGTTGCAGTAGTTTTTGGCCCTGCTCTGCCCCTGACCCTGGGTAACCCTGGGCCCTTCTTTGAGTTTCATCAGCACAACAACAGGGTGGGGTGGGTGGGCTCTGAGCAGCGTTATGCAGGAGGCAGCTCACCCCACACCCACTCTAGAGAGAGGTTCTACCCTTGGCCACGGCAGGAGAATCCCACTGTGGAAAGCAGCAAGCACCATGCTTCTTCCTCTCTTTCTTTCCTTCTTTCTCTCCATCTCTTTTTAGAGCCAGTTGTTAATCATTTATCTTCAAGACTAGGGTATGTGTGTATGTGCTAAATCGCTTCAGTCATGTCCAACTCTTTGCGACCACATGGACTGTAGACCACCAGGCTCCTCTGTCCATGGGATTCTCCAGGCAAGAATACTGGCGTGGGTTGCCATGCCCTCCTCCAGGGGATCTTCCCGACCCAGTGATGGAACCTGTGTCTGCTTTGTCTCCTGCATTGGCAGGCAGGTTCTTTACCACTAGCGCCACCAGGGAAGCAGGGACATAATTCCTCCTCTACCAACAGGACTGGCCCGCCCAGGAAACCAGCCAACACCTCCCAGCAGTGGACCTGGGTCCTCTGGTGCCCCAGGGCCTGCCAGCCACACTGAACAAGGACACAGCTTCTGTTCTGTCACTTGTTTGATTTCTTCTTTCTCGTGAGCACAGGAAACCGAGCTGACCCCTCCACCTTAACTTGCCACGTGCCTCGAGTTTGTCTGGTCCCACATGTCCCTGGAGGAGACAATATTTTTAACAGAGCCACCTCTAGTCCTCACGGGGACCATCAAAAACAAGGGACCACGGTTTCTGAGATTCGATGCGGTAGAGAGGGTGGGTCGCCCAGGGCATCCAAGTCACAGAGTGTCTGCTCACTCCGCCCCAAGGGACGGCAGAGAGATCAATCAGAGAGCTTGGAAGGCAGGGCTCTTGCAAATTCAGGCAGCCCCAGCGTGCAGTTGGCCTAATTTGGACACGGGCTCAGCTAAACCTGACCTTCGAACACTCTAAGGAAAAAAAAAAAACAAGAAAGTCTTTACTAAGCTATAAGGATTGCCATGGAGATGCTTAACGTGCTCAAGGAAAATGATCACTTTCAAAAACTTTTAAGGCAGGGGGTTTAAGCACACCCCAGACTGATAGCCCTCTGTTCCTAGAGATTGACAGCCTCTTTGGCTTTACCCAGAAGGCAGAATTGCTTTTCCTGCTGAATGTTAATAAAACTCCCTTTTGAGAATATGCAGCCGTCCATTCGGCCAGCCAGCTTTGCCCTTTTGCATTTAGCAGCATTTCTTGAATGACAGCTGGGGCCCAGTCCTGAAGAGTCCACACACTCAGACACTTTCTGGGTCACGCTGGCCTTGCCACCACTCTCCAGTTAGGGGGTCTGACTGCATCGGTCCTCAGGCACCCCCAAGGTACGCAGGTGCTGTATTCCCGCCCTGGTCTCACTCCCTGCACGATCGATGTCGGCTTGATGGGTGTTGACTGGTCCTGCTCACGCCTCCAGCAAGTGGCTGGCAGAGGGGACCTGGGGGTAGAAAGCCAGTAAATGCCTGTTCTGGATAAGCTCGCTGGCTTTTCATTCTGTTTCAGCCACTGAACTCGCTTTACACGTGAAAATCATAGGCAGGACCCCAGGACGTAAAACATCTGAGCCACCAGCGAAGGCCCGAGAACACAACAGTCCAGCTGAAGCGCGAGCTGTCGGCTCCCCCTCTTCCTGGACCTCCTCTGAATCTCTCAGCTTTAATGACTTTGATTTCCACGGAGACCTGATCTTCCCCTTCATCTGGGAAACCAGGTTTGCAGGTCACTCCAACACAGAGATGCAAAAAAAAAAAAATTGCAGGAAGCTGGAGGTGACAACATCAATCCCCAAAAACAGGGCTTCCTCATCTTCCTGAAAGTGAAAGTCGCCCAGTCATGTCCGATTCTTTGCGATCCCATGGGCTATAAAGTCCATGGAATTCTCCAGGCCAGAATATTGGAGTAGGTAGCCTTTCCCTTCTCCAGGGGATCTTTCCAACCCAGGGATCAAACCCAGGTCTCCCGCATTCCAGGTGGATTCTTTACCAACTGAGCCCCAAGGGAAGCCATCTTCCTGGGCTCCACCATTATCTCGGTTTTTTGTTTGCTGAGTCACTAAGTCGTATCCAACTCTTTTGCGACCCCATGGACTGTAGCCCATCAGGCTCTTCTGTCCATGAGATTTCCCAGGCAAGAATACTGGAGTGGGTTGCCATTTCCTCCTCCAAAGATCTCCCCAGACAAGGAGCTGGTTGCTGGCAGATCTCTCCCCTCCACTGCTCCAGGTCACTGTAGCAATGATTCTGGTACCTGTGTGCATGCATGCTAGTCCCTTCAGTGTCCAACTCTTTGTGACGCTATGGATTGGGGCCCTCCAGGCTTCTCTGTCCATGGGATTCTCCAGGCAAGAACACTAGAGTGGTTGCCATGCCCTCCTTCCAGGGATCGAACCCGCGTCCCTTATGTCTCTGGCATGGGCAGATGGGTTCTTTACCACTAGTGCCACCTGGGAAGCCTGTTTCTGGTACAGCCTCTGCCAAATCAGTGGATGTTGAGCCCGGTCCCCTCCACTGCCCCTGCCCGNGGTGGGGGGAGGAGGGGGGCAGAGGCTGGGGTGTCACCTCTGTTTATTGAGCAGTTACTGTGTGGCTGAGCAGAGCCAAGGACTTTCCTTTCACTAACTCGTCTCAGCTGCCAGCAAGCTGGTGAGGGAGGTGGGCACACGGGCTGGGACTCAGAGAGACTGAGTAACTCACCCGAGGTCACAGAGCTTATTAAAGTGGCATCGGTGAGTATGAGGCTCCTGGTTCCTGCCTCTGCCACCACCCCCCCCCCAACCAGTGCAAGACAGGAAAGAAGAGGGTCTAGAGGTAGGGTGCATTGGAAAGTAGGGTAAAGGAAATGTCTTAAAAGCAAACACCAGAGCCTTTGGGGGCTGGAGAGGACACATCAGCATAGATGCGAAGCTTCTAGGTCAGGGACACCTCTGGCCTCCGTTTTCACCCATCGAGCTGTTCTCCTGGGAATTCTTAAGGCAGCTGTCGGTTCTTCCCAGGTGGTACTAGTGGTAAAGGGCTCACCTGCCAATGCAGGAGACACCGGAGACGCGGGTTCCAGCCCTCGGCTGGGAAGACCCACTGGACTAGGAAATGGCCACCCACTCCAGTATGCTTGCCTGGAAAATTCCACGGACAGAAAAGCCTGGGGGGCTATATAGTCCATGGTGCAGCAAAGAGTGAGACACGACTGAGCACAAGGCAGTGGTCATCCAGCAAGCGCCCCCACCAAGTGTCAGAGTTGGCCCCAGGGCTCCCAGAGTATCCTCGTGTTTGCAGTCTGCTCAACACACAAGCCTGTGAGGCAGGAAGCCCAGTCAGGGTTACTGACCCATTTTTCAGATGAGAACGCCGAGGCCTCATGTAACGATAGTGGGGGAGGGGCTGGAAGAGCAGGGCTCTGTCCCCGCTGGGCACCGGGTAGCTGTGCCCAGCCCCCGCCTCCCTCTTCTCCCCCCAGCCTCACGTCACCTGCTCAGAACCAGCAGCAGCTGGTCCCTGGCCTTGCTGTGGGTCCAGCCCTGACTATGCTGAACCCTCTGGATCCGCTCTGCCAGGCCCCAGGCACCAAGTGGGAAATCAGGGTTACCCAAGAAGGCCCACTGTGGGGGCAGGGGCTGCTGCCAAAACCTGTCCCCAGTCTGTCCAGCCTGGTTCTGGTCCCCTTCCGTCCCTCCCGAGCACAGCCTCAGTTTCCCCCTCTGAAAGATAAAGGAAGGGTCTCCTGATGAGATGAGACCCTCCTTTGCATCCTCTATCACCCAGTCGCAGGCAATGCATCACCCTTTATGACTTGTTACCCATGAAGCTGCCAGGACCTGTGACTGGGGGTGGGGTTATGTCAGCTGGGCCATGTGGCATGAGTCACAGTGAGGTGTCTAAGAAGGAGGGACCACAGCCCTTCAGCTTTCCAGGACAAGTGGAGGTCTGGGCCCTCAGCCACTCTGAACAGCCCTGTCCCCAGGGGTGAGGAGACCCAGCCGGGGGTCTCCATGGAGCCTGTGGGAGGGGCCAGCAAGCCTGGGTGGGGACCACGGGGGAGAGGAGACCCACAGCACCCTGCCCGCCCCCCAGGGGACCAGAAAACTTCCAAGGATTGATTGACACTTTACAAGGATCAAACACTTCGCTTGTGGCACTCCGGGCTACAGCCAGATTATTGCCCTATAAATGAGTAAAGAAGCATGTTGACTGATTCACGACCAGGAGGAATCCAGCCCAATACAAGTAAACAGGCGATTACAATGCAGCCCCAAAACTCTTAATAGGTGCGGAGGCTTAGAGCGCTTGCTGAACCAGTTACTAGCTCTGCCCAGGGCTAAGGAGATGGCCAGGAAGACTTCCTGGAAGAGAGGACAACTCAGCTAATAACCATTAGGGGTGCTTGATTCACACCCTGGGCTGGGTCAGCTGTATGGAGAAGAGAGGGGTTGGGGCAGTGGGGGAGGAAACAGGGCTAGGGGCGAGCTCCAGATCGCCTCAAAGTTGAGTTTGGGGACTTCCCTGGTGGGCCAGTGGTAAGAGTCTTCACTCTGAAAGCAGGGGGCCCAGGTTTGATCACTGATCCGGGGGCTAGATCCCATATACTGCAACTTAAAAAAAAAAATTATGCATACCAGAACTAAGAACTTAAAAAAAGAAAAGCTTAGAGTTTTATCTTGAAAATACATTTTCAAATTATTTATCACACTCTTGAGTAGATAGATCCATGGGACAGAAGAGCAAGCCCAGAAACACACACTAAAACCCACTGGAATTTAGCATGTGATAGAAGTGGCCTCTCACATCGGGGTGTTAAAGATGAGCGTGTTCATGGATGGTGTCAGAATAAATGGGAAGCCATGTGGAGAGCAATAAAGCCGGATCTATTCCTCACCAGAACACCAGGAGAAACTCCAAGTGGATCCAAGATTTTGATGTAGAAATTAAAACCATAAAAGAATCAGAGGAAAACATGAGTGAATTCCTTTATAACTGTGGCATGGGGAAAGTCTTCTAACCACTCGAAATCCTAAGGCCAGAAAAGAAAAGAGGATGAGCTGAATAATAATTATTAATATTATAATGAGCTTCCCTGGTGATTCAAATGGCAAAGAATCTGCCTGCAATGCAGGAGACCTGAGTTCAATCCCTGGGTTGGGAAGAGTCCCTGGAGGAGGACATGGCAACCCACTCCAGTATTCCTGCCTAGAGAATCCCATGGACAGAGGAGCCTGGCTGGCTACTGTCCATAGGGTTGCAAAGAGC